CTAAAACGCAGCGTATATACCTGATCACAATCATCGAGCGAACAGGTGCCTTATTTGTATTTGTTTGTATTGAATGCGTTTTGGAAATACTTATCAGCCCTAAGAATTCCCTTGACATAACTCAGTTCGTGCCTTGCTTGTTTATTGATATATTTCTGCACACACAACACCCACACATAGTTGTTCATCTGTTTACTCGACGCCTACCACATTTCAATCTGGCGTGAATAGATAACACGATTGACTTGTAGGATCTCGATGGCAATCATACGTGGTACTCGATTGCTTGAGTGCCTCTAGCCACATATTTGAGGTGAATTTTGTAATGATTCCTTAATTTAGTATCTTAGAAAACTAAGAATCAATCGTATTTGTTTTGGGATTCGTATCAAATTTGGCTACGCGTCAGTCAAATGCAATTTGGTTATTGTACACCCAGTTAAAAAAACGGAGTTCGTAAAAGAGAAAAAATCGATAAGGACGGGTAAAACTTCTCGGGTGCGCCACGGAAGACGCTTCAACCAAAGCTGGCGGGGAATGACAGCATGAAGTACGCGGGTACTGAGGAGTTGCCGCGTGTGTCTGAACAACTGGGACGGGGTGCGGTTGCCGATTTCGAGGTCCCCAAACAACTCGTCCAATCGGCATTTATCCAACACAGCTGTGCGGGTGACCAACGTTTCCTTCAACTGAGTGTATGGGTCATTCTCAAGCATGGTGGTAACAAAGTCAAATACCTGTTCGGCAATGTCTGTGGGCAGGAAAAGGACTATGCGGGAATATATAATCGTTTGAGAGCGAAGGCGGTGGGCACGTAAATGAGCTTTGGCTTGGGCGAACCATAATCGAGGGTTGCTAATACTAAATGCGGGCAATCCGATGTGAGGAGACATGGGAAAGTCTTCCATGTCGAGTTTTGATAGCTCCATGTTTAACACGTACAGTAAAAAAAGTAAAATTCCTGAAGATCCCGGGGTACCGTAGAAAAACATAAAACTAGAGTTAATCTAAAGACGGGATCACCAAATATGTGGTGGAAAAGATCCCACATTTACGGGTAATAACGAAATAAACGGTACATGGAACGGACTCACTGAAGGATTGTCCGGCTGGTTGATTGGTCCTGTTCTTCAGATGCGTGGCTCCGGTTGATAATGTGCAGTATTGCTGAAATGGATGACTGTGACAGTTAGTGGACCGCTTGACGATAACTAATAATGTACGCGTAATGCTACAGCAACACTCGGAGAACATGTACGTAGTCACGAACAGAATTTGTATTGTGTTGTTGTACACATTAAAACAAGCTGTACAACCATGTCATACAAAAGTGGATAGAAAAGTAATACAATACAACTACTACATAGTGCTCCTTCCAGGCGAAACGATTCATGAAACTGATTTTCTTTTCCGATGGTTCAGCTTCTCGGTAGCCAGTCTCATTTCACGAGCAGCCCGCATATCGCAGGACGAGCTGCGCACCAATGATGTTACGCAGATGTCATCATAACCTTCTTAAAAGCTTGGCGCTCAGATCCGAAGCGGAGATTCCCACCATTCTACATTTACCGGAAAGTAACCAGTGCGAAACGGGGTGAAATATTATGCCGTAACGACCGACCGATCATTCCACTTCCGTTACGCAAGGAAGTGTTAGAAGATCTATACAAAGAACACTTAGGGGAAATGAAATTTTTGCGCGACAGATGTGTTAGTTGACTGACCTAGACGAAGACATCGGTCGAACCGTTAAGAACTGCGAAGCGTGCCTGCACTAACAAGGGTAAAGACCGAATAATTCCGTACCATGGCCAGATAGCTGTATTCCTTGGTGACGCGTGCAAGCCGACTTGTGTGGGTCCTTTCTCGGACATTATCATGCATTGGTACCGATTGACTTTTACTCAAAGTGACCAGAGGTATTTCTAATCAGTGCATTGGCCACATCATTGACAATGCGGACTCTACGAAAGTGTTTCTTTCCAGCAGGAGTCCCACAAGTGTTGGCGATTGATAGCAGTTCTGCGCTGCGAGGATGAAAACGTGTCTGAACAATGTTGGTTGCCAACATCTGCGCACAACACCAAATCATCCTTGCTCAAAGAGTGCAGCGGAAAATTTGGTGAAAACGGTAAAGAGCACCATTGCTTCTGCAAGTCCGAAGACAGTTTTAGATTTGGGTATACTCCTGGACAAATTCCCTTTGCAGTGCTGAAATGCGGCACACGCCATCACCAAAGAATGTCTAGAGAACCTGTTTAAAGCAGAAAGTTCACAATCCTCATTGCAATCTGTTGATTCCGGTGACGTCGCGTACTTCCGGGGAAACGTTCTAAGACAAGCAAGAGGAATCATAACCCGAAAGATTTGCCAAGCTATGGTGGAGATCATCGACCTGGCAGATGTGACAGTTCATTGACGCCACAGCAACCAAATCCATTTCAACGGGAATCCCAATTCGATTGAGGATTCTACAGAGGAGATCCAAGAAGGCTCGTCCAATAATACGTCGATGCCAGATAAATAAAACCAAAATCAGCAGTGTTATACTCCTGGAACGCCTACTGATGAGAATGCCCCTTCTGGCGCTGCGAAAACCAAGGAGAAGAGTAAGTCAAGTCTACGAGGCTACCTTGGTGGAGAAGAGTCGTGGTGATCAAAGCCTACGGAAGAACGCCAGCCACAGAGCGAAGCGTTGAAGTTCTTGGACTAAGAACAGGTCAATCGTGCCGACCAATCATAAGATGTACGGTCCGAACAGAAGCCGTATGACGTTGGTGGATACCCGTAGATTCAATTAACTTCCTTTATGCATGCTATTCAATCCCATTGAGTTATTTAAATGGATGAACTGCTACTTCTGTTGCCTTTTCCTTGCGTCTCGTAGACAAGAAACACCAGAACGCAAGTGATAGTCTGATTAAACATTTCACTTACATCCGTAACTTGTGCTTCGTGATCTGTGCTTACTTCAGCTGTCACACCTTCCTTTTTCACCGTACGCAAAATTTACTTTTTTAACCTCTGTGCAGCGCAGAGCGGAACATTTTCTTTTCTAACACTTATTTTCTACGGACACGATCAACCAGTATTTTACCCAATGTAACTTAGATACTCTTCGAGGACACAGGAAAAGGTGTTTTATCCTTGCCCCTGTGCCAGAGTCCGTCACTCTGTACTCATCCATAGAGTTATCATTTTATGGAATAGCCTTCCGTTAGATGTTGTCGATGGCAATTCAAAAAGCACGTTTAAACACAAACTTGATATCTTCCTTGGACATAATCCTCACACCCACTAATCTCTCGATCGCCCCACCGAACTCTGTGTCCGCACCTGTATCACTCAAGATTGTGCGTTGTTTTTGAGTACTCTTTACCCCAACTGCAATATTTAGTAAAAAATCATTCTGTGTGAAAAAAATTGAAACCAAAAATAACAATTAAACGGAACAAAGCAAAAGCAAACAAACAGAAAAACTTATGCGTAATTAGTGTAAATCATGTATCTAAGCCTGCATCAGGTTATTATTTTACGCACGTGTATGCAGGAATGCATATAATCTAGGTGTGCATAGCTGTGCATTGCAAGCAGATATTGCATCCCTTCCGCTCCGGATCTCCTCCTTACACTTTAATCTCCATCTCCGCATCCTCCCACTAGGCTGTCGTCCGCCTACTACCTATCCAGCGGACACTGCCTATCAAACAAAAACCAACAATATCAAAGATCTGGGACCAATATACTGGGCTTCAAACTCCTCTATTAATCAGTTAAGTTGCTTTCGGGAGTACTGTAAGTATACGATACAACGCACTAGTACTCTGTTGGATACAGAAAAACGAATGGATCAAAGGGTAAGAAGAAATCAGAACCATCGAAAGCGCTGGTATCTGGATGCACAATTTTCCAGAGTCCTGTAAGAACTGAGCTGAAATTCATCCGCATCCGTCTGTTTCAGGCAAGCTGAACCAAAGGAACACGTGACAGTCGATGCACGCCAGATCATAGTTCGGCTCAAGCCGCAAGTGCTGTGATCCGTCCTTACTTAAACAGATACGCAGTATATCCGCAGAAGATACTGAGCGCCTAGAAAGAGTGTAAAACTAATAACTACAGTTTTGTCGAGTCAAAATTCAAGAGTTATTCATGAAAAGCAAATAAATTATACCCCTCACCGTGCCACGTCGCAAAAATAAAACTGGATTTACAGAAGATTCCAAGATTTTGACGGGCCTGTCCGGACTGGGATCAAATATCCTTTTCGTCCTAGCTTCAGACTGTAATAAAACGAATCAGTTAAAATACCAGCACACTGAACAGACCATCCACGGTGTTGCTAACCTCAGCAAAATTCTGACAATACAACGATCTGAATGATTGATTAATTTTAACCACTTTTGTTCTGTACATGCTGAACATGTAGTGCGCAACGGCACTCCGAGCTTGTAGATCGTCACCTGTTAGTCACGAGATACACTCAGGCAGGTATTCGATACACGAATACCCGTGAACTATCACCAAGGCCGGGCACTCGATAGAAGAATTCTAACACCACCAGTCACCTGGGCTCCTATGCTCTCCTGTGGATCACTGAGTAACAGTGCTCGTGGCGTTCCACAGAGCCTTTACGATCAATCTGCAAGATATAGAAAACGAACCAAGATGAACCAAGGTAGAGTGAAGTATGCAAATGAATTACGATCACATTAAAATGGCCGCGCTGCGACTGCACATTATGAACACAATTTTTAAACCGAGTGCCAAATTACCGAATCATGAACTAATACCAATCGTGATGAGAGAAATACTCTGTTTATTCTGGCGCAATTCTACAACAGAAGTCTGATATTGATATCTTTGTATGTCTGCGTTGATAGTTTTACTACTTCGAAAATAATAAAACATGGCTCCAGTTCCAAAAGTTTAAAATTGTTGGCGCGTAATGTGAGTTAGTCGCTCTTCTGATCGTCTTTGATTACAGTTGAACTTATTCCATAATGGCACGTACTAAGCAGACGGCACGTAAATCAACAGGAGGAAAAGCTCCAAGAAAGCAGTTGGCAACGAAAGCTGCCCGTAAGTCGGCGCCTTCGACCGGAGGTGTCAAGAAACCCCATCGTTACCGGCCGGGTACCGTCGCTCTCCGTGAGATCAGGCGATACCAAAAATCCACCGAGTTATTGATCCGAAAACTGCCGTTCCAGCGTTTAGTGCGTGAAATCGCTCAAGATTTCAAGACAGATCTGCGCTTCCAGAGCGCAGCCGTTGGTGCTCTACAAGAAGCCAGCGAGGCGTACTTGGTGGGTTTGTTTGAAGATACTAACCTGTGCGCTATCCACGCAAAACGAGTGACAATCATGCCAAAAGATATCCAATTGGCAAGACGCATCCGAGGTGAACGGGCCTAATTTTTTTCTGCAAACAGACTATACACTTTATATGGCATTTCTCCTGGACCTCTTTAACTATTTGCGTATTATGGCAGCTTTGTCTATATGTGTTGTCCAGTAATACAATATTTACTTAAAAACTTCGTTTTTTTAAATTATAACAGCAGATGTTGGATGTTAGGAATAGGCGCTTCCGTCAACCGCATGCACTTAAGCGCTTGCAGGTAGGCTGTAGTGGGATCCTAATTTCGACCGGTTTCATTTTCGTGCCGTCAACCCACTACCCATCAAGAGCGGTCATTGATAGACCGATTGGTGGTCTGGCTTTTCTGTATAGGCCCGGAGTGACTTATAGGATACTTAGTGTTGTTGGTGTTACTTGATTTGTAGTTGGATGATTCTGGAATTTTACACCGGGTGGCAACAAATTATCAGTGGGTAGTTCGTCACCCCGGAGAGGTGAACTGGGGTGGGATGCTCTTGGTTGGTGTTGAATTGAGGTGCTTCTTCATGGCGGTAGAAACTCCGTTTGATTCTTTCGTTCTGTTTTTGGGCATGATGGGGAAGCTCAGGCAGAGAAATTTCGGGAGTTTGTTGAGGACGATAAGAAATGCATGTTATTTTACTTGAAAGGTCGCTCAGCTGCCGTTCCGACAGACTTATCAGATCGACGGTTAAATCGCATTTTATTTTATGTAAGTTGCGTTTTGAAAGGAAATCAGATTGGCGCAGCAATGCGATGTGATTTATTGGAAGACTGACCAATTTCTGCTTAGAAACTGGGTTAGCATCCGTCGGGTACTTCGTGGCAGTCTTTAGTTGTCCACTTGATTGATGAATATATGAATGTGATTGCTGAGGCGTTTGATGGGTAAACTTTACCTCAGGGGTACAGCCATTTCGACCAAATGATTAGTCATGTGAATGTGGGTTTGCTCAACTTCCCCAAGGACTTACCTACAAACTTTGCAACCTGATGGGGACAGCGAGGTAGCAATGTGTTCCCAGATCAGAAATCCGTACATTCTTGCTGGTTTGACGGATTTCCTGGATGACTGTCTCCTGTGGCATATCGCTTGGAACACCCCAGAAGTAGCTGTTGTAGTATACCGTACAACATCTCCCCAAAATTCTGGGTCTCTTTTGTCTGAACTTGTTTATTACACCGTTTTACAGCGAAAGGGACACCCATAAACAGCGGAATACTGTGAGGTGGTAAGCTTTGCAAGGAAATAGACAGGTGGGAACCAATCTCTGTCATACTTTTAAAAGGCAAGGTTGTAAGCGACTGAGAATGTGCAAATTGGGGGAGTTTCCCACGAGTTCGCAACCCTGGGAAGATAAAGGACGAACTAGTTATTCCCCCTGGTATAGTAATGGTGATTGCTCGCCTGAGGTCAGGATGGACGGGACAAGTACGAGAAGAGAGGGACCGCTGGTGTTTTTCCCTCTGCTATGGTAACGCTTCCTATGCCTCCTGTTATCAACGAACTTTTTCTCTCGTCACAAAGCTAACCCAGAATCTCCATTTTCGTCTTCATGTCAGCTCATGTTTAGAACCCTGGTCTGAGCATTTTCGCTCCAATGGTGTCAATGCTGCTTGGAATTAAATGTCCTTCGTGAAACCTTGTTTCTTCTTTCAAACGGTCGAGGAATATCGGTCTCATTCACAATTTGATTGCTATCTTGTCTGCTCAGTTGGATAAAGAAGAAGATTCAAACGTTGAATTCAAGTCGATAAAAATTGAGAATTCATACAGACTGAGGTTGCTGAGATGCATAAGTGCTAATTTTTGACTGTCTAATAGGCACTTCAGTAATCCTGGGGTCCCCATGCAAGAAACCTAACGTGAACAATTCTTTTCATTTGGCTTCCTTTTTGTTGAGTCTGCGACGCAGTTTTTAGAAATAGGGAAGCAACCGGTCAATAGGCTGTCGTACAATACAATGGGGTGGATGGTGGGATTCAAACACGTGTTCCAAGGTGAAACCTTATGCCCAGTGTTTTAAGTCAATGACGGAACACCTGGTGNTTTCATTTGGCTTCCTTTTTGTTGAGTCTGCGACGCAGTTTTTAGAAATAGGGAAGCAACCGGTCAATAGGCTGTCGTACAATACAATGGGGTGGATGGTGGGATTCGAACACCAGGGTGAGATTTTACCTTCACCACCGTCATGGTATCCATACCGTTATCTCCGTTCTTGGTTTGCCCTCCATGATTTTCTTGGACCCATTACTTGCGCGTGGCATGGTCGCAGTCGGTGGTGCTCGTACCTTTCATGCTTGTAACCCTAGCCTATCGCTTTTACTCTACTCTCAACGTTCCAATCTTCCTGCACTTATGTCCGATTGAGCAGCCTTAAGATGACCAAAACCAGTGCATGGTTAATTCTTGTAAGAACTGAGACGGATAATAAATGCGCTAACGTGCGCGATCTATGTAAGTCAACCACTTCAGTGGACCACCGCGGTCGGCCGAAACTCGGCGCCTTACTTGTCCGGGTTACTGACATGCTAAGTAGACAGCGGTGTTGGATTGTATCGTATTGTGTATTACTTTTGCAAGCACTGGAGCTCACTTCAGTAAAGAAAATGTAAATCGTCACAATTAAATCCGGGGGAAATTTTTACAGGCACTTCATAGGACTAAGTTCACATATTGTCCGCTGTTTGTTTGTGAGTAGACGAGCAGGATGCGGTATAGATGAGTTGCGGTAAGCGTTATTTCGAGATGAAAGTTAGCGGAATTAGGAGCGTGTCGAATGCTAGGAAAGGCGTGTCAGTGCAATGGGTGGTCAGGATCCGTGAGAATACTTTCAGCAAATTTCAAGCAGGAGGTTACGTGATACCCAAGGCTTTAGAGCTAACGCGTTCACAGGAATAAAATAACGGTTTATAGCAGTTAGACTGCGGCGTGAGACCGAAATCCTGTTTGAGTAATCCAGGAATAATTACTGGGGAAAAGTAGAGTAGGGGAAAACACTGATGCACAAAAGTAGAAATAACTGCCTGAGCTTTCGAATTTGAAATGATACGCGCCGCAGTTTACCAATGCAGTTGTGGAAGTGGGTTGACCAATGGAGATTGCTATCTATGGTTACACCAAGATGTTACCCCAGATAAATAATTGTTACTAACCACTGGCATCTGTCAGATTATTAAATATCTCACGTTTGACTGTGCCAAACAAATTAGGCTACAATACTCTTTATAAAAGAAAAATCGGTAAATGATTGGCTTGTGGGCTGAATACTGCCGGGTTGTCCAGGCCTAGGCAGGTGCATTTCCTTGGGTACTCCATGACCGGAGCCTTCGGATAGCCAAAGCCTGACCCGCAAGGTAGCAGGGCAGTGTGTGAAAACCGCAGTCTATCGGGAGCCAGTGTCCGGTTCATCGCACCATACGCCCTTCGGACGGGGTCAAGCATCCAAGGTGCCCAATTGAAGTGAGTAGAACTTACCCAGCAGAGGCTGTTTGAGACTCGTAAAGGAGCATCTGGCGAGGTGCAAGGGGAGGGTGGCCAGCCGCAATCCTAAATACCCACCCCCGACCATACTGAGCATTTCGGCGGCAGAGCTAACACCAACAATCGAAATGTGCACTTTTCAGGACGACCAAGTTACCTCACTGCATAGCGGAATTGGCGGTACTGCTGCGACAAACCACCCAGGTGTTTTGAGAAGAGGGGGAACAGAATACTATCGCATATGTAGCTGCACTATCAAAGGTGTTCGGGTGTAGGGAAACGCCTGACATGGAACAGGCAACCGACTGCGCGTATCGCGAGAGCGGAGTTCAAAGGAGACCAGTAAAGGGAAAAGTTCATGGATAAACTCATGGGGAGCGATTTAAAAATCAAGTAGGGACGCGTTTAGCGATGACGGATGAGAGGAGTTTTGAAAGCGTCGAGACACTGTTGGTAGAACTCCATGCGGGAATGAATTCGGGATCGGAGGCGAGAGAAGCGCGAATGTGACGGGCATCAGCAGTGGCCAAGTGCATTTAATTCCAGGTTTTGGAAGAAAGGTCATAATAGATAGAAAGGCCTGTGCTAAAGCATGGGACTTTGGGGAATATCAACATTCACAAAAAAAACGGAAGAGATGGGGTCCCATCAACTCGGAGAGAGATTGCTCACTTGCCGGAAATATATTGCAGTTGCGAAATGAGATACGGGTGGAACCTGAGCGTGAATAGTATCGGCACTAGATTTTCTAGCCAAAAGCGGTTGAAGGCCCTTGGAATGTCAAGCGAGACCAAATGAGTCACTTCCTGGTTATCGGATGCAGATCACCAGAAACGCGACAAGATCTGTGGAACGACTGGGATGAAATTTTGTTGACGGTTTGAGAAACGCACTCAGTTGTTTATATATATCCTTCAAAGAGCAGCCACGCACCGAACCCTGCTACATGATGGGATTGCCCTAACCAGCAATCTCACTANNNCCCTTGTGTTAAAGAACACTGGTTACTTTGCCAGTTTCGGTGAAATCAATTCACTCAGAGTCGCCCGGCGTTGTATGGAGGATGCGCAAAGGGTTCTTGGCAGATTTGCAGATTCTGTGACTTCAGAACGCCTCAGTATGGTCGGGGTTGGTATATTGGGTTGACTAGCCACCCTTCCCTTGCACCTTGCGAAATACTCCCATACGGCCGAGCGTCTCAGGTGCTCTCTGTCTTCCCGTAATGTTCTCCCATTGAGGTGAAAGGACGAAGAGCTAACATCCAGGGCTATAATCGTGTTGGCAAACCACTAGCAATTCGCCTAACGGAGTTGGCTAAAAACCCCGATTCCATGAACACGTGTAGGAACCACCACCTCTCCATACATATTCCTGGTCGTTGCAGTGGTCACTAGCACTATTGGGCATCGATGCGCATTCGGAACCTTGGACAGTTGACCCCTTCCGAAGGGCGCATGATCCGATTAACTGGACACCCGTGACTTTCACATACCATCCCATTGCCTTGCAAGTCGGTCTTAGGCTGCCCGAGGGCCCCGGTTGTGAATGCCC